TTTGTTTCCATTTCTTTTTGTCTTCATCAACAAAGGTGAAGTAGATCATAGCCTGCAAGTGTTCAAACAGGCGAGTCATCCTCAGTGATTGCTCCCCCTCTCGTTCACCATGGCCCTGCCGCCACATCACAGGAAAGGTTGGGCTGGTGGGTGGTTCCAGTGCCCTATGAACATGAGCCAAAAAAAGTTTGTCAGTTTCTCAATTGACAAGTCTTTTCTAGTCTTGGTCCTTGGTCCTTGGTCTTTGTCCCAGCTCCTGTCAGGCCTGCCAGGCGTGCCTGCTGCTGCAGCGGCAGCTGGCAGAGGTGCCTACCCAGAGGGAGAATGCACAACGCTGTATGTTATTGCTTTGCAAGGTCATTGGTCCGTCTTAAGTTCACCTGTGAAGCACATGCAGTTTTTTCACTCCAATCTACAAAAAAGTGTTCCGCAAACCATTCCGGAAACAATCCCTGATCCACAAACCACCCTTTCTGGAACACATCTTTTCCAGCTCAGTCAATATAGTACATCGATTCGATGCTAAAGCTCAGTCTCCAAGTCTCAACCTCTATGAATCTGGACTTTCATGTGCCATGAAGTGTCCAGCAAATGGCTGAAAAATGGATTTCCATTCTTTCAGGAGCTTGACATTGAAGCCAGGGCGTGTGGTTTTCAATGGTTGGTGTTTCTGAACAAGCCAGGACCAAAGACTGAAGATCTGCAGCAGCCCTGTGGTATCCATATCGGCAATCCCTAATGAGCTGTGCCATCTGTTGGAAATGCTCTTTCTCCTTGTCAGTCATTGAGGGCCCTTGGCATTGAGTTGGAGACAGTGTTGTCACACGGTCAACCCTGCTTGCAGGAAGGACACACAAAGGGTCCTGCTGCAATTGCCTGTCTCGCGTGTAGGTCTTAACACAGCACATGACATCCTTGTCTGAAGCCGAGGACCTCAACCATGCATGGTGCTTGGCCATTGCTTTCTCATCCCCTGTGAGATCCATGATTTCCCCATGCCAATTGAATGAACCAAAGACCAATCATCAACAGCATCGCCAGGACGGGCAGCCTTAGCAAAGAGTATGTCCAATGGTTCCTTCTGTGAAAGGTAAGGGCGGGCCAAGAAATTGGACACTGTATCCAAGATATAGACCATCTTGGACAGGCCTTTCACAGAATCTTCAGCAGCAAGCCCCAGCTGCCATGGTGCCACCACAAATCGGTCAATCTGCCCATTTGGAGGAA